TGCACCCTTACGTACTGCGGCCGGTTTGTGAGGTAAGGTATGTGTGTGCTTATCACTGTTTACCACAATAATTGAAGAGTACTGCAGGAAAACAGAGCCATCCGTCGTTACCACACAGACACACACCTAAGAGGAGAAAACAAAAGATGGTTTCATCACCAGACACATTGTTTGTGCATAAAGTTAAATAGTCTTGTGTTATGTTCTTTGTCGAATTTAAATCTGATCTTGAGATTTTGAATGACAAGAAAATGTCAAAACTTTAAACAGTGCATGCACCAAGGTTCTTCCCACAAATTACATCACTTTTCTCACAAAACACCTTGCAGCTCCACATTCCTGCCCTTCATTTGTCTTCCTAAACTGGAGTGAATCTATAGCTGAATATGTGAGGCCTGCTTTGTTCATGAACAAACCAATTTAACCACATGACAGCAGGCACAGGATCGGGAGTGTAGATCTGTCTATTATTGTTTTGGTAATGTCCCTATTACACAGCCATTCTAACCTGCTGTCATACCACCCGTCCACAAGGTGTCGCGAGAGCTCTGTGGTTGAAACCGACCACCAACCATTGGTTACCATCCACAACAAGCCCTTTCACACGATCCCAGCACGATTGCAAAGAATGATGCTCAGACTACAGAAGTTCAACCGAACACTCGTCTACAAGAAAGGTAAACATTTCTACATTGCGGACACACTCTCCCACCCCAAGGCTGAACACTCCCCCATTAAAAGAGGAGCAGCGCGATTCTGAAGTCATGACGCTTCAACTCATTTCACCCAAACGTCTACAAGAGCTGGCAGGACACACAAAGACCCAGTTCTTCAGACACTGACGCGCTCCATCCAACAAGGTTGGCCCACACGGGTAAGCTGTGTACCCAAAGCAATCAAACCATTCTTTAGTTTTCGAGAAGAACTGATTGTTGAAAACGAGGTTGTTATGAAAAACAACAGAGCCGTTGTTCCAGCTCTTCTACAGGAAGTGTACTTACAGGAACTACACAAAGGCCATCCAGGCATGGAGTCTGTGAAAAGAAGGGCAAGAGACACTGTTTTCTGGTTCACAAGCAACTCTGACATCAAGGACAAAGTAAAGTCATGCAGTATTTGAAACAGCCTCTAGCCTCACCAACAAAAGCAACCACTGAAACTTCACAAAGTTCCAGATCTTCCATGGTCCACAACAGCTACAGACCTATTTGAATGGGACAACGACAACTACCTCGTACTCGTGGATTCCTACTCTGGATGGTTCGAAGTGGACAAACTGGAAAATATGACATCGATGTGTCATCAAGAAACTCAAACGCCAGTTTGCAGTGCACGGAATACCTCAGAAACTATATTCTGACAATGGCACTCAGTTCACCAGTCAAAACTTTCGTGATTTTTCTGAGTCATGGGAGTTTGAACACGTTACGAGCAGCCCTGATTTCCCTCAGTCAAATGGTCTCAGCGAGACAGCTGTTCGTAGTGCTAAAAGACTACTGGAAACAAGAAAGAGAGATGGAACCGATTTCTACCTAAATCTACTACATCTGCGAAATACACCCAGAGACAGTATCCTTGGATCTCCAGCCCAGAGACTGTTTTCAAGGAGAACACGGTCAACTCTACCTGTCTGTAAGAAGTTACTCAAGCCAAACCCAATAGCCACCAAAACTGTCAAGGCTCATCTCACAAAGAAGCGCAAAGCTCAAAAACCGTATTATGACAAGACCAGCAAGCCACTCACTCCACTGAAGACAAACCAAGTAGTGAGACTTTAAACACGAAAAGGACATGACAAGATCGCTGTTGTTCGTCAAGTTTTCAACAAGCCTCGTTCATAAATGGTCGAGTCAGATGGGAAGCAATACAGACGTACAAGACAACATCTTCTACCAGTGAAGGAACAACTACCTGAACAAGTCCCTGCGCAGTCCAATGGAATGAACAATCAACGCATGGACAAATCAGAGACTGTTGAAGCGGGAAGAAACACTCCTGTAAAGACTGACATTGTTAACCAACAAAGGACAAAACGCGGAATGAACAAGAAACCGCCTACCAAGCTGAGAAACTAGATACAAGCCCAGTACAAAACAATGCTGATGTGTATCTTACTAAAAGTGGCAGAGTATCAAAACCGAATTGTAAATATCTTGAGAAAGATTTTTTTCTGTTCCTGAAAATGTTGGTTACTAAGTTGTAATAGCCCATGTAATGGTAAGTTAGCCTCCCTTTATTTGTCCCACACTGGGGAAATTTACAACAAAATTTACAACAAGTTAGCCTCTAATTTGAATCAGACATTTACTAGCCATTATGTGTGTAAAAAAAAAAAAAAGACACTTAAAAGAAGGGATGTAGATCTGTCTATTATTGTTTTGGTAATGTCCCTATTACACAGCCATTGTAACCTGCTGTAATCTCCACAAGGTGTCATGAGAGCTCTCTGGTTGATTTGCTACACGAGTAAGCCTGTAACACGTTCTTGGTGCTGCTGAAGTAAAACTACTTTTGAGCACATAAACGGACTGGTTTCTTTCTATCAAAACTACAGGGAGTATCAATGATCAAAAGGCTTCAACTAAGAGGCAAATGTACACTTTCTTTACAATTGGTATGAATTGATTTTAAACATCATGTTTGGCGTCTGAAAAAGTTTTTGTTTTTTTCAAGTGGCAAAAATACTGCAAATATGCTACATCCACCAACAGCATTCCCAACTTTGGTAGAAAAATCTAAAACCATGTGGAGAGGGAGAAGTATGTGTTCAATTATGCGATCAATAAATACAAATAGGGGCGGCACGGTGAGGGACTGGTTCGGACGTGGGCGGAGGTGGAGGATTCGGTTCCGACTTGTGATACAAATGTAACCCAGACTTGTTAAGACTGTTATTTCATTGTTATTCTTCTGTTAAGGCAGTGTTTCTCAAATTAGTGGGGCACGCCCCCTTGGGGGGCGGGGGGAGGGCTAGCGGCGAGTTTGACCTCAGGGAACATGTTTTTTTATTTTTTTATTCAGATTTTTTTTTTACTGTCCTAGAATAAAGTGCAGTTTCACTTCCACTACATTAGGGGGCAGTGGCGCTCTCATCGGCGGAGTTTGCGCAGGGAGCATTCGAAGGGAGGAAATAAGGCTTGTATGTATGTATGTACAGGTATGTATGTATGTGTAAGCTTTTGTTGAATTGTTGATTGTTGTCATTTTATATTGAAGCATTGTATTCTTTTATGTTGGTTACTTTAATTATATTCTGTTTAATACTTCCTGAAATATTCTTATGTTGCTTACATGTGATTGGTGAAGAAAAGCAGGAAAGAGGGGTCGTTGCCGGAAGGGGGAGTGTTCGTTGGAGAGTTAGGAGGCAGCCGTTGGGAAAATAAAAAAAGAGAGAAGAGCTGTGTTCAAACGAAGTCGTCCTCTGCTTTTTGTCCATTCTAAACGTAGAGCAAATCCATCTAAAACCTACGAACCCCTCGACTTACATATGTATCGCTTGGCTTCACTCACACGGTGGCAGACGAGGGAAGATCAGTGTGCTAACTGTGTCTAAAAATGTTGGTAGCGGACAGCATGAAGCCAAATAAATTAAGGCGTCACTTAAAGACAATACACCCCAATCACGCTGATAAACCGATTGGGATTTTTCAGCGAAAACGTGCCGAATATTGCCAACAATCATCCCGCTTTGTGACTGCTACTTCAGTAAGCTAAAATACTGTACAGGTACCGGCTACACATTGAGCAGGAGCCGAGAGTTGCTATGTTCTGCTTCAAACCTCGCTTCGAAAAGCTGCATTGCAAAACGTGCTCATTGTAGCCATTAATCCAGACATCATCTTCGATTAAAAAAAAAAAAATAGCACACATTATTTTATATATTTTTGTTTTGCAGGTTAAAGTTTTTTTTATAATGTGCTTGAGTTAATGTTGGTGATCGGTTTGAATGCATTATTATTTATTGAATTTATGTAATTGTATTCTTCATTTTTTTCTGTTACAGTTAATAAAGCTATTCTTTGTTATAAATTGGTCCATATTTCTTTCTTTTTTATTGTCTTATAGGTTAATAAGAATACAGTGTTATGCAGAGGTGTACTTACAACAATTTTATCGACAAACGATACTATTTACAGTCGCGCGGGGAGGGGGGGGGATGTTTTCTTCTTCCAAAGGGGGGTATGACAGAAAATAATTGAAAAGCACTGTGTTATGGTGATATTTATTTGCGATAATGCTGTTTTCGATGGACCATGAACGCACCGCAGCACTGAGAGCGATGACTTGTTCGCGAGGGAGAGAGAACTTTCTCGCACCTTTTCAAACGGGTCGAAGGAGAAACAACTCAGGATAAATGAAAGCTGGTCCTTGAACCTCTACATGTGTCAGGTAGTGGAGTTGAATCCCGTGATCCTCTGGCATTTTTTTTTTTTTTTTTGCCGGGTCGCATTCGTACAAGCAGTAGCTTGAATGCCGAACAGAATTGAATGTCTCAGATTACGCTGTGCTTCTTAAATGCAAACAGCATCAAAACGCAAGACGGAAAGATCGTTTTTTTCACATATCAAGTTCAAGTACAACTTTATTGTCAAATTTTTTGATGTACGACATACAGTGGCGGGCCGTGCATTTCAACCTTAGGCCTTCAGTGACGTCACATACATACACAATATAGGCTCGTCAAGCAGCACTTAATTTCAGGAGCATTTAAAACCATCAAGTATGTATTCCCAATTAAGAGCAGGAAACTAAATTTCACAATATAGGCTCGTCAAGCAGCACTTAATTTCAGGAGCATTTAAAACCATCAAGTATGTATTCCCAACTAAGAGCAGGAAACTAAATTTACAGATATTGTCAAAAATAAAAAGATGATTTAAAAATACGAAATAAAATGCCACCCAAATTACGCTGTGTGATCTTAAACAAGTCTGTCCAATAAATTGCGCAATGTCGCAGTTTCATATAAGACACCAACCAAACAATAACAAAACAAACTATTCTTTGAAAATAAACAGATCATTTGCATTTTGAAAATC